CGAGAAAACGATATATCGCCTTGAGAAGTCAAACGCAGGTGTCGCAAGGGAAGTCACCGCCGTGGCACAAGTGTTAGCGCGCCGAACCGCAGTTAGGAAGGGCATCCAATCAAGCATGGGTGGCATTGCCATATAACCTCTCAATAGTGAATTGAGAGAGGCCTATGTCCTGCAGTGGAATGGTTGTTAAAATATATATATATATATATATATATATATATATATATATATATATATATATATATATATATATACACATGTCTCTGTGCGATTATGTGTGTGTGTATACATACATACATATATATATATGTGTGTGTATGTGTCTGTTAGGAAATATTCAAAGCTAGAATGGAACGGACAAGGTATCAAAATGGGAGACGAACACCTAAACAATCTAAGATTTGCAAACGATACTGTTCTCTTCAGTGAACTGCAACAACTGATAACCGAATAGAGTCTGAAAGTCTGAAGTCTGAAAGATAATTGGGAAAGGCCTACGTCCTACAGAGGATTGATAGAGACTGATGATGATTATGATGATAATATATATATATATATATATATATATATATATATATATATATATATATGCATATATATATTTCTATGTATATATATATATTATACACACATATACATATATATATAGTATACACACACACACATATATATATACATATATATAGTATACACACACACATATATATACATATATAGGACACAGCCTTGTGGGTGCCCACCACGCCAAAGTCTGGCCACGTGGCGGCCACGCCAAGCCGCCCTGCGAAGCGTCCCCACGCCGCCCAAGCGTGGCTTGGGGGACGCGACCTACCCTCGTCTCCAAGCCAACGCTCGGATATTTAAGGCCTGCAGGTGACTCTTGTAGGCAGCCGGGCCATAGCCGAAGGCCCGGGCGAAGCTAGAACTTCGCAAATCACAATCGATCCTGTAGGCAGAGTGTTCTGCGCCGCGGCGAGGTCACGTCTGACCGCGCGGCCAGGTTGCCGTTTGGCAGGGCTAGCCAGTGACCTAGGCGCCCTCGCCTTAACCCAAGCTTTGTCTTCATTGTGTTATCAACTCCGTGTGCTAACTCTTATCAATAAAGGGTTTTAAGCCACCAAGCTTTTACTACTCCCTGTCACCAATGTTTAGAGGTCCTTCCCTGACCTTTACAGTGTGTCCGGTTGTATATGTCTGTGTGTCTGTTCCTGTGCATGTGAGTGTGTGTGCGTTTATATTTGTATGTGCCTGTGCGTATGTTTACGAATTTAGTATATTTAATGGTAAGAAAATTCTCTCCAGGGAACAACAGACTGGACATGTTACATAACAACACTTACACAGTACACAGTCACTGGCTTCTTAGAATTTAGGAAGAGCTGACTCCACAGCGAAGGCCGACGCCTCCGTTATAAACGCTGAATCGCCTCGGGGCGATTTCAGTCTCCAGGGGACCTTCCTCGCGAGTTGTTTGACGGGGTTCAGCTTTGCACTTTCCCAAAGGAAGCGATTTTCCTCCGCGCCGTTCATCACGAACACGCAGACACCGATAAAAGTGGAAACTACTTCACTTTATAAATTTGATGTAATGTATTTTACCATTCACGAAAAAAAAACAAATGCTAGCAGGTTTGGCTTTTATATATATAAATTCTAACATGATACTCATTGACAACCATGTTGATGCTCGCAGATGCGTGTGGTTGCATTCCTCTGGGCGGTGGCAGGGGCGGTGTGGGCGCTGGAGGAGGACAGCTTTTTCGATCAGCACTTCCCTCCTCTTCACCCTAATTGTACCCAGGTAAGTTTACGAAATTGGAGGAATTAGGCAAAAGTTTGATAGTTGATCATGTATATATATGTGTGAATATATGTATATATGTGTGTGAATATATGTATATATGTGTGTATATATGTATTTACATATATGTATATATATTTAAGTATGTACATGTGTGCATGAGTAACAATTAAATGTTTCTTTGCTGCCACAGAGTCTCACGGATCTTCTGTTGTTGCGCCAAGAAGGCCAGCTTAAAGAATCTGTAGGAATACTGAAGGAGATCCTGTCAGAAATGAAAGGCTCCTTGACGCGAATTGCCGCGCCGACAGGTAAAAGAAGAATGTTATACTTAAGTATAATGTGTCTTTTTTGCGGACCACTTATCAGTCCAGGTTATATATATGTGTGTGTATACATACATACATATATATATATATATATATATATATATATATATATATATATATATATATGTATATGTATATATATATTTTAGTAATATAAATATCTTTACTCTGTGTAGAAGCACCCTGCCCAGACAACTTCGTAAACATCGGCGGAACTTGTCTCTACATTGCCAAGGACGTCAGAGTAAGTTGGGAAGCTGCTCGGGCCTTCTGTCAGGACTTGGGAGGAGACTTGGCCGTGCTCCGAGACGCCAACGCACTCGCACATGCCATTGGATACGCTAAGACTTTCTGGCAAGTCATTTTCCTCTAGACTTCATTTTATTCATTAATTATTTCGTGACAAGCTAGCTGAATACATGAATAAATTTTCTTATCATTTGATGAGGATGGCAGTGGGTGCTACGGAGATGGTGATGAGTAATATGTAACTGATAAAGTCGCTCAGAAGATAACAATCCAAGTTCAGTTTACTACATCCATCTTAACCCCATTACTGTTCGCTCCAGTTCGACGAGTACAACGAACAATTCCTTGCATTCCATAACTACATAGGTGAATAACTATAGTATCCCCTATATATATATATATACAAGAGCATTTTATGATTTTTATTATCGCTATGCAGTATACTACCCAGCAGTCATCATCTTTCGAAACAGAAACTGGATATATTAACCCCTTGGTGCCGGGTATGACGTGTACGTACGTGCTATGCCCACCGTGAGTACTTGTTTGATTGTTTTTACGCATAGATGGCAACACTTGTACTAACTCCCCAATGAGCCAGTTACGAGCATCGCCCGTCTCGCCCGTTTACCCGTTTCTTTGATTTACAAAATATTTTACGTAATCTTATTTTGCTGTTACTAATGTTAAAAATAATTATAAAAATTATGTTTATGATAAAAATAACACCATCGATTTTCATAGCACTAGTGAAAAATACATTTCTCCCGCCATTTCAAATCAGGCGCTAGCAGAGCCATCTATCAGCAGAAATTTCACAAAAAACATAGAAAGTGGGCACAATATTTTCCCCATTTTTTGTTCATTTTTCCTGGCACCATTGGGTTAATAAGACTCCTACATAAAGTAAAGAAGGCTGACGATGTTTTCCTCCCAACAGGCATCTCGAGCACTGAAAGCGTGTGGCTGGGCGGAAGAGACAACTTAGTGGAGGGAGAGTGGAAGTGGGTGTCCGGAAAAGACATGCCGAAAGGAACGCCCTTTTGGGGAATTTATTCCTCGTAAGTCATTCTCCCCTTGACTTCTAAATGAAGCATTCAATGGAAAAATCGTGAAAATATTGATCATCCCTTCCCCTCATACAAACACACGCACACTTTATGTGTATGCGTTTGTGTATTTATTAAGATACACATATAGACATGCCGATATATATACACATATATGTGTGTGTGTTTACACACAATATATATGTATGTATGTATCTATATACATGTACATATATATAATTATATATATATGTGTGTGTGTGCATGCGTGTGTGTCCATACACACACACACTATTCATCATCATTATTTCTATCTATTATCAATTTATTCATTTTGATTCAACTGTTTACTTTCAATAGAGTGAGGCAGCCCAGTGGGGGTTCAGAGGAGAACTGCGCCATATTGTTGGGCTCTGATGACTTCTTGGTCCACGATATCTCTTGCAGCTGGAAGTACATGCCTCTCTGTCAAGTCAAGCGGACTTAAACAAGGGCATGTAAGCCTCCGACAAATAAAGTTCTATGAAAATAAGATTCGTTATACATTGTTGTTTACGTCCAGAGCAAAAGGCGTATGGTTGGAATATCGGTGTCGGTGAGGGTTAATGGAACACTTCGAGGGAAATGCAATACAAGACACAAAATAGCTGTTTGCCAAAAAAGTCCTCGCATATATACATACAGTATACATACATACATACATATATACCTATATCTATCTATCTATATACACACACATATATATATATACATATATGTATGTATACACTCATTAGGTCCACACAAAATCCACTAGCAAATCCTGTAATTCTATTGGATCCATTTATCATTTCTTTTGTTAAATATTTATAAGAAATTTGTGGCTTGCCTTTGCTGAAGCTCATATGCTTATTGAAATGGTACTAAAGAAGTAGCATATTGTGAAAAGCCGTTTCAACAATAAACAAACAAAAAAGCTGGACTTGAGGTAGGCAGTAAGAACGACACACACACATATATACACATACAACTGCCGTGATGGTCCAGTGGTTAGAGAACTATATGTGTGTGTATATATACACACACATATATGGATATATACACATGCATGTGTATATATATACATATATATATACATATATATACATGCACACACACACACACACACACACACACATATGCACACTAGTCCGGTTTTGACGTTTGATGCCCGGTGTCCGGCAGAGTCCCAGAACCGGACCATAGAATGTCCGGTTTTGTGAAAGTGAAATGTCAGAAAGTCAAAATGAATGCCCCTCCCTAACATTAGATGGCTATTGTGTCACAAACAGCCGGACGTTGCTATCTTTGCAGACAAGCATGGCGGCGCGCACGTGAGACGAGTTATGAGAAGTAAAAAACGCAGTTGGCTAAAGCAGTTTATTGATTGTTTATAAAATAATTTTCTCTATTATTAACATAATATGCAATGCAGTAGGGTAAAGCAGTCTATACTATACTATAGTCCAAAGAAAGCAGTTTCTGTGTGTGTATGTGTGTCTGCGCTTGTGTGTGTGTGTGTGCGCTTGTATGTGTGTGTGTGCCTGTCCTTGTGCATGTGCGTGTGTGTGTGTGTGTGCGTTTATATGTGTGTGTACCTGTGCTTGTGCGTGTGTGTTTGTGTGCGTGTGTGTGCGCTTGTGTGTGTGTGTGCGCTTGTATGTGTGTGTGTGCCTGTGCCTGTGCGTGTATGTGCGTGTGTTTACAAATTTAGTATATTTAATGGTAAGAAAATAGGTCCTTATTCTCTCTAGGGAACAACAGACTGGTCATGTTACATAACAACACTTTTATAGCACACAGTCACTGGCTTCTCAGAATTTAATTAGAGCTGACTCCACAGCGTAGGCCGACGCCTCCGTTATAAACGCTGAGAGCCTCGGGGCGATTTCAGTCTCCAGGGGACCTTCCTCGCGAGTTGTTTGACGAGGTTCAACTTTGCACTTTCCCAAAGGAAGCGATTTTCCTCCGCGCCGTTCATCACGAACACGCAGACACCGATAAAAGTGGAAAATACTTCACTTCATAAATTTGATGTAATGTATTTTACCATTCACGAAAAAAAAAACAAATGCCAGCAGGTTTGGCTTTTATATATATAAATTCTAACATGATACTCATTGACAACCATGTTGATGCTCGCAGATGCGTGTGGTTGCATTTCTCTGGGCGGTGGCAGGGGCGGTGTGGGCGCTGGAGGAGGACAGCTTTTTCGATCAGCACTTCCCTCCTCTTCACCCTAATTGTACCCAGGTAAGTTTACGAAATTGGAGGAATTAGGCAAAAGTTTGATACGTGATCATGTATATATGTGTATATATATGTATATGTATGTGTGTGTATATATGTATATGTATAGACATACATATATGTATATATATTTAAGTATGTATGTGTGTGCATGAGTAACGATTAAATGTTTCTTTGCTGCCACAGAGTCTTACGGACCTTCTCTTGTTGCGCCAAGAAGTCCAGCTTAAAGAATCTGTAGGAATACTGAAGGAGATCCTGTCAGAAATGAAAGGCTCCTTGACGCGAATTGCCGCGCCGACAGGTAAAAGAATGTTATACTAAAGTATAATGTGTCTTTATTGTGGACCACTTATCAGTCAAGGTTATATATATATGTATATATATATATATATATATATATATATATATATATATATATATTTTTTAGTAATATAAATATCTTTACTCTGTATAGAAGCACCCTGCCCAGGCAACTTCGTAAACATCGGCGGAACTTGTCTCTACATTGCCAAGGACGTCAGAGTAAGTTGGGAAGCTGCTCGGGCCTTCTGTCAGGACTTGGGAGGAGACTTGGCCGTGCTCCGAGACGCCAACGCACTCGCACATGCCATTGGATACGCTAAGATTTCTGGCAAGTCATTTTCCTCTAGACTTCATTTTATTCATTAATTATCTCGTGACAAGCTAGCTGAATACATGAATAAATTTTCTTATCATTTGATGAGGATGGCAGTGGGTGCTACGGAGATGGTGATGAGTAACTATGTAACTGATAAAGTCGCTCAGAAGATAACAATCCAAGTTCAGTTTACTACATCCATCTTAACCCCATTACTGTTCGCTCCAGTTCGACGAGTACAACGAACAATTCCTTGCATTCCATAACTACATAGGTGAATAACTGTAGTATCCCCTGTATATATACACACAAAAGCATTAACGATTTTTTTTATATCGATATGCAGTATATTACCCAGCAGTCTTTCGAAATAGAAACTGCATATATTAATAAGACGATGTTTTCATCCCGACAGGCATCTCGAGCTCTGGAAACGTGTGGCTGGGCGGAGGAGACTACTTAGTGGAGGGAGAGTGGAAGTGGGTGTCCGGAGAAGACATGCCGAGAGGAACGCCCTTTTGGGGAACTTATTCCTCGTAAGTCATTCTCCCCTTGACTTCTAAATGAAGCATTCAATGGAAAAATCGTGAAAATATTGATCATCTCTTCCCCTCATACAAACACACGCACACATTATGTGTATGCGTTTGTGTATTTATTAAGATACACATATAGACACACAGATATATATACACATATATGTGAGTGTATTTACACACAATATATATGTATGTATGTATCTACATATATGTACATATATATAATTATATATATCTGTGTGTGTGCGTGCGCGCGTGTGTGTGTGTGTGTGTGTCCATACACACACACTATTCATCATCATTATTTTTATCTATTATCAATTTATTAATTTTGATTCAATTGTTTATTTTCAATAGGAATAGGCAGCCTAGTGGAGCTTCACGGGAGAACTGCGCCATATTGAACGGCAATGATGACTTCTTAGTCCACGACGCCCCTTGCGACTGGACGTGCTGGCCTCTCTGTCAAGTCAAGCGGACTTAAACAAGGGCATGTAAGCCTCCGACAAATAAAGTTCTATGAAAATAAGATTCGTTATACATTGTTGTTTACGTCCAGAGCAAAATGCGTATGGTTGGAATATCGGTGTCGATGAGGGTTAATGGAACACTTCGAGGGAAATGCAAGTACAAGACAAAATAGCTGTTTGCCAAATATGTCGTCGCATATATACATACAGTATACATACATACATACATATATACCCATACCTATCTATCTATACACACACATGCACATACACGTATATATATATATGTATGTATACACTCATTAGGTCCATACAAAATCCACTAGCAAATCCTGTAATTCTATTGGGTCCATTTATTATTTCTTTTGTTAAATATTTATAAGAAATTTGTGGTTTTCCTTTGCTGAAGCTCATATGCTTATTGAAATGGTACTATGAAGTAACATGATGCACAGAAAAAAAAAAACATACATAGAATAATAAAAAATGGTTTTATTGCTGGACTTGAGGTAGGCAGTAAGAACGACACACACACATATATGTATATATACGCATATGCATGTATATATATATTACATATATAAATGCATATATACATGCACACACACACACACACACACACATATGCATACTAGTGTTGCCACATCTCCGGTTTTCGTCCGGACAGTCCGTGTAAGGGGTATTAAAGGACCTCTTAAACATTGGCGACAGGGATAGTAAAAGCTTAGTGGCTAAAAACTCTTTTATTGATAGAGCTAGCACACGAGATGTTAACACAAGTATGACCCTGGGGTGTCGCGCGGTCGGCTGGAGGGTCGCCGGGGTCATTCCCGGCCCAGCCCAGGTCAGACGTGACCTAGACCGCACCAAGCACACTCTCTCTGACCGGTCGAAATGCGGCCCTTAAGTATCCGAGACGCTGGCTTGGGGGGGCGAGGAGAACCGCCCCTCCGCTTGGGCACGCCGCATTGGGTAGCCAGGGCGTGGTGCCACGTGGTCACTGTAAGCCTCCACGTGGGGGCCACGCGGGCATATAATACCGTTATAACACAGTATATTGCTCGGCCACCTACTCACGCCTCGTCCTCGTGGCGATCTAGACTCCTCAAGGGTGACCCAACTTGGCTGGTTCCAACTTGCTCGTCCTCGATCTCGGGTGCGGTATCCTTGGTGCATTTCCGTGGCTGCTCGTTCTGTGTCGTCATCCTCGCTCTGGTCCCTGGGAATTCGTTCGTCCTCGACATCCTCACGTCCTCGATTGGTCTCGCTCAGGTCCTCGACCAGACATCCTCCTAGTCCGCTTGCAGGTCAAACTTGGCGGCTTATTCGCCCAATGCACTTCTCGCAGATCTCCGTTCAGGTCCTGCACGGCTGCGCGCTCGTGCAGACGTCCTCGTAATCGTCGTCAGGATCTACGGGCGTCCGGCAGGCAGCGTCCTCGTCGACATCGTAGGGCGGCTGATACCTGCACTAATGAGCTCCTGGAGTTTGACTGAGTCTGCGGCGTCCAGGCAGGCGGCGCCCGTCCACAGCATCATAGGGCGGAGAACCTGTGCTGGCGAGCTCCTGTCTGTGCTGGATCTCGGGTGTCCTGGCGAGCGGCAATCTCCGATGACGTTTTCTAATGGCTTCCGAAGGTGACCGTTTCTGCAGCAGGGCCTCCTTCGGTGCCGTTTCAGATATCTGGAACCAGAATAACACATAATGGGCCAGATAGTGAGAGAAGGAAAACGACAGAGAAGGTGTTAAAAGCTACAAGCCGATTTTTTTGTTTCATAATTTGCAGTTTTTAAAGTTGAATTTTCGTTTTTTTTTTTTTTTTCTTTTTGTGTTTTGTGTTCACAAAGTTAAGAGAGGAAAATAGAAGAGGGAGACGTTGGTAGCGATCCGCAAGGATCCTCTTGAACTACCATCATCTCGTGAAATGATAAAGTAAGGGAAATGACAATTGGCATTCCGCAAGGAATTACTTGAACCAATGTCGAAACAGAAGGAAAAGTATGTAAATACGATATCATGTACAAGTCACGCATCACGACTAACAATATTGCGGCAACAAATACGTATGCTTGCAATTAAGACAGCAGCAAATCCTATTAATGAAGGTTTCAGTGTCTTTTGTCTGCATCGGTGAGTGAGTGAGTATGTGTGCATGTTTGAGTGACAGTGATTGATGAGTGTTAAATGGAAGTAAGAGTGACCTCATAGCAGTAGAGTTGCCAACACGCTGAATAAAGTTCATTCTAACAATAATGCAACTAATTATTTATAGACGTAATTCATATTTATTTCAAGTACCATATTGAATTTAACATTTAATGATATGCGACAAAATGACACATTAATGAATGGTGACGTGAAAATTATTCGCAAGCCTTTCGCGAGCAAATCTTCTCGGGAATTTCCCCGAGGAAGTAGGTGTCTTACCGGTCATGCAGACTTCATTTGATGGGGGGACGTGACCCAAAAAATTACCGTATTTTATGAAGCTAAAACGAGCTGGGAAAATCTATAATTTACCCACTCTATCTGTGGATCTATGATGGGCGCTCATGAAATGCCCTGTGGGGATTTATCATGAATCACGAACCGATGGGATTTTACCTAACATGATGGAGACATATAAAAGTGTGAGCGGGTTGTGATTAATTAAGTGGATCCTAAATCAGACTTAAATCCTAGTCGGAACTATCATCGTCTAACGCCGAGTACATTACGCATAAAAATGCAACCCCAAGTATTCAGACACTCTGACAATATGTATGAGGCTATCTCTTGACGTTATATTTAATTATACGAGTCGCGTTACAAGTTCCGTTCTAGCGCCGATTGAATTTGTTACCATGAACATGTAACGGTTGCTATGCATTAACCCTATATTGTGACAACTTAGTTCAAACAATTAAAGGGAATCGCAAGCTGTTTTCTCAGCCATATCACTGTGACAATCACTTAAGGTCAAGTCAGGTCAGAGCTACCAGCTGTCTAGGCAGGATAATGACTTTCACGTGAGGTCAGGTCAAAACGGGAAATGGAGAGAGAAGAATTTAATGAGTGAATGTTCGTGAAAGAATAAATTCACGAACGCGCTAAATTCGCATGATTGAAACAATATAATTTAATCACGAAAAGAATTTAAATAGACGCTTAATAAATGAACGATTTCATACTGCTTAACTCCATACCGCGATTGACAGTAATAAGAAGTGAGGTCAGAAAATGAGAAATGAGAATGAGAATATGCCATTGTTTGTAATTAGCACTTTAACCCAAAAACTAACGCGAGCATCGCTGTACATGGCTTAGCACATTTAGGGAAAATAGAAAAGAAATGAAAAGAGAAGGGGCCCATAAATGTGTACTCACGGTTTTTGAAGATGTCATCTTGCGTCCTTCGAAGCCGAGCGGTTTTGTCTTCGAAGAGTTTGTTCGGCTGCGCGGCCGAAAGGGCGCAGTGACCACCGCCTGCCACCAGAATGTAAGGGGTATTAAAGGACCTCTTAAACATTGGCGACAGGGATAGTAAAAGCTTAGTGGCTAAAAACTCTTTTATTGATAGAGCTAGCACACGAGATGTTAACACAAGTATGATCTGGGGTGTCGCGCGGTCGGTTGGAGGGTCGCCGGGGTCATTCCCGGCCCAGCCCAGGTCAGACGTGACCTAGACCGCACCAAGCACACTCTCTCTGACCGGTCGAAATGCGGCCCTTAAGTATCCGAGACGCTGGCTTGGTGGGGCGAGGAGAACCGCCCCTCCGCTGGGGCATGCCGCATTGGGTAGCCAGGGCGTGGTGCCACATGGTCACTGTAAGCCTCCACGTGGGGGCCACGCGGGCATATAATACCGTTATAACACAGTATAGTCCGGTTTTGACGTTTAATGCCCGGTGTCCGGCAGAGACCCAGAACCGGACCATAGAATGTCTAGTTTTGTGAAAGTGAAATGTCAGAAAGTCAAAATGAATGCCCCTCCCTAGATGGCTATTGTGTCACAAACAGCCGGACTATCTTTGCAGACAAGCATGCTATCTTTGCAGACAAGCATGGCGGCGCGCACATGAGACGAGTTATGAGAAGTAAAAAAACGCAGTTGGGTAAAGCAGTCTAGTGATTGTTTATAAAATGATTTTCTCTATTATTACCATAATATGCAATGCAGTAGGATAAAACAGTCTATACTATACTATAGTCCAAATAAAGCAGTTTGTTTTTAAAGTCCAATAAGGCAAAAAATTTGCTACGGTGTGTTAAATCTGACACCAAATACAAGTTGAGACAAATACAAGTTGAGTTCTTGGGTTTATGTTTTTATGTCATTCACGTTTTTAGTGAGCATGATCTTCTTTAAATATATCAAATAATTAATAGTTAGGCTTCACACAAAAATATTGCTCTGGCCAACTCCAAATGCCGGTTCACAGCATCACAGGTTGATCCGACGGGGGAGGCGGGAGTCCTGGCCCCAGGCCGGGGGCCCGGGGTCCCAGGCCGATATGTCCGGTTTTCGCGTCACACAAATGTGGCAACACTAATACACACACACACACACATGTATACACACACACACATAGAGAGAGAGATAGAGAGGGAAAGAGGGAGAGATAGATAGACAGAATGATAAATCATATATATATAATGAGCGAGCGAAGCTGGCTAGTACATATATATATGTACTATATATGTATATGGTCCAGTGGTTAGAGGACTGGACTCCATCCCAAGTTCAATTCCCCGTCGCGGTGGTCATAAAAATGCTTGCGCTCTGACTGCTGGCTCGAGCCCGAGAAAACGACATATCGCTTTGAGAAGTCAAACACATGTGTCGCAGGGGAAGTCACCGCCGTGGCACAAGTGTTAGCGTGCCTAACCGCGGTTGATTAGGAAGGGCATCCAATCAGGCAAGGGTTGCACCGCCATATAACCTCTCAATAGTGAATTGAGAGAAACCTTTGTCCTGCAGTGGAATGAATGGCTGTTAAAATATATATATATATACACATGTGTGTGTGTGCGTATATGTGTGTACATACATACACATATATGTGTGTATGTATGTGTATACACTTACACACACACACACACACACGCACTTTTCGATTTGGTTGAGATATTTGGCTCTGTACAAATACCTACATTGTTAGAAGCTATTCGAAGAAAAGTTTATTGTAAAATATTGGAAACTACATACGAAGATGGGACAGCAACTTTCAAGCGTCACCACAAACCGATAAAATACCAATAAAAAAATGTTAAATAGGGCAATACCATCTCACCAAAACTGTTTACAGCTTGCCCTGAGGTTATATTCAAGAAGCTAGAATCGAAACCTCCGGGCTAGTACAGTGGTAACGTGTCGGCCTTTCATCCGAGAGGTCGGCGGTTCGCGCCCCGCCCAGGCGTGAGAAGTAGCAATTGTCGCCTGGAGGTTACTGCTGTGGCTGGGCACCATAGTGGGTAAGGACTAAGCTCATCCGAGTCAGCACCTGCTGACACACTGTTAGCAAGTCGACATTAGTCGGCACAGGCCGGGCTCTCCTCATAGCCCAGGCGAGGCTGAGCTTCGCATATCGGACCTATATTTATCCTAGAATGGAACGGATTTGCAAACGATACTGTTTTCTTCAGCGAGTCAGCACATGAACTGCAACAACTGATAAACGAATAGAGTCTGAAAGTCTGAAGGCTGAAAGATGGTCATATAAAAAAAGAGACTAATGTCATGATCAACAGTAGAGTTCATTTCGAACAGAAACATGTAAAAGGCGAAGCATTAGAGGTAGTGGGCGAGTATATATATGTAGGACAACTCAAATAAAGGAAATAAAGCGACGCCTCAGTATAGGTTGGAGCGCTTTCGGCAGACACAATAGCATACTAAGAGGTTCATTGCCATTAATTTTAAAAAGAAGGTTTTAACCAAATCATCCTCCCAGTTATGACTTATGGATCAGAAACATAGACTACAACCAAATTACTGGAGAGGAAACTAAGAAGTTCCCAATTAATAAGACTCCTACATAGAGTAAAGGAGGCTGACGATGTTTTCCTCCCGACAGGCATCTCGCGCACTGCAAGCATGTGGCTGGGCGGAGGAGACCACTTAGTGGAGGGGGAGTGGAGGTGCATGTCCGGAGAAGACATGCCCAAAGGAACGCCCTTTTGGGGAATTTATGCTTCGTAAGTCATTCTCCCCTTGACTTCTAAATGAAGCATTCAATGGAAAAATCGTGAAAATATTGATCATCCCTTCCCCTCATATAGACACACACGCCCAAATTATGTGTTTGTGTATTTAATAAGATACACATATAGACACACCGATATATATATACATATATGTGTGTGTGTATTTGCACACAAAATATATGTATGTATGATCTGTTGCTCATATCATCAATCTATTTGTCTATTCATCATCATTATTTTCTATTTATTATCAATTTATTCATTTTGATTCAACTGTTTTTTTTTTCAATAGGATGAGGCAGCCCAGTGGAGGTTCAGGAGAGAACTGCGCCATATTATTCGGCCCTGATGACTTTTTAGTCCACGATATCTCTTGCAGCTGGAAGTACATGCCTCTCTGTCAAGTCAAGCGGACTTAAACAAGGGCATGTAAGCCACTGACATATAAAGTTCTTTTGAAATAAGATTCGTTACACATTGTTGTTGGTTGGAATATCGGTGTCGATGAGGGTTAATGGAACACTTCGAGGGAAATGCAAGTACAAGACAAAATAGCTGTTTGCCAAATATGTCGTCGCATATATACATACAGTATACATACATACATACATATATACCTATATCTATCTATCTATACACACACGCGCACATACAAGCATATACATATACATATATGTATGTATACACTCATTAGGTCCTTACAAAATCCACTAGCAAATCCTGCTATTCTATTGGGTCCATTTGTTATTATTTCTTTTGTTAAATATTAATATGAAATTTGTGGTTTCCTTTGCTGAAGCTCATTTATTGAAATGGTACTAAAGAAGTAACATGATGCATAGAAAAAAGCCATAATTATAATAATCTAAAAATGGTTTCAACAATAAACAAACAAAAAAGCTGGACTTGAGGTAGGCAGTAAGAACGACACACACACACACATATACACATGCGATTGCCGCGATGGTCCAGTGGTTAGAGAACTATATATGTGTGTATATATACACACATTTGTATATATACACATATGCATGTATATATATACATATATATACATATATATGCATGCATACACACACACACACACACACACACACACATATATAGTGTTGCCACATGTGCGGTTTTCGTCCGGACAGTCCGGTTTTGACGTTTAATGTCCGGTGTCCGGCAGAGACCCAGAACCGGACCATAGAATGTCCGGTTTTGTGAAAGTGAAATGTCAGAAAGTCAAAATGAATGCCCCTCCCTAGATGGCTATTGTGTCACAAACAGCCGGACGTTGCTATCTTTGCAGACAAGCATGGCAAACTTGCAGACAAGCATGGCAAACTCGTCTCACGTGCGCGCCGCACGTGAGACGAGTTATGAGAAGTAAAAAACGCAGTTGGGTAAAGCAGTCTAGCGATTATTTATAAAATAATTTTCTCTATTATCAACATAATATGCAATGCAGTAGGGTAAAGCAGTCTATACTATACTATAGTCCAAAGAAAGCAGTTTGTGTGTATGTATGTGTCTGCGCTTGTGTGTGTGTGCGCTTGTATGTGTATGTGTGCCTGTCCCTGTGCATGTGCGTGTGTGTGTTTATATGTGTGTGTGCCTGTGCTTGTGCGTGTGTGTTTGTGTGCGTGTGCGCTTGTATGTGTGTGTATGTCTGTCCCTGTGCATGTGCGTGTGTGCGTTTATATGTGTGTGTGCCTGTGCGTGTGTGTGAGTATGTGTGTGTGTGCGTGTATTTACAAATTTAGTATATTTAATGGTAAGAAAATGGTCCTTATTCTCTCTAGGGAACAACAGACTGGTCATGTTACATAACAACACTTTTATAGCACACAGTCACTGGCTTCTCAGAATTTAAGAAGAGCTGACTCCACAGCGAAGGCCGACGCCTCCGTTATAAACGCTGAGAGCCTCGGGGCGATTTCAGTCTACAGGGGACCTTCCTCGCGAGTTGTTTGACGGGGTTCAGCTTTGCACTTTCCCAAAGGAAGCGATTTTCCTCACGAACACGCAGACACCGATAAAAGTGGAAAATACTTCACTTTATAAATTTGATGTAATGTATTTTACCATTCACGAAAAAAAAAAATGCCAGCAGGTTTGGCTTTTATATATATAAATTCTAACGTGATACTCATTGACAACCATGTTGATGCTGGCAGATGCGTGTGGTTGCATTCCTCTGGGCGGTGGCAGGGGCGGTGTGGGCGCTGGAGGAGGGCAGTGTGGGCAGCCTATACGATCAGCACTTTCCTCCTCTTCACCCTAATTGTACCCAGGTAAGTTTACGAAATTGGAGGAATTAGGCAAAAGTTTGATAGGTGATCATGTGTATATATATGTATATATATGTATATATATGTGTGTATTTATGTGTATATAGGTATACATATATATATATATTTAAGTATGTATGTGTGACAATTTAATGTTTCTTTGCTGCCACAGAGTCTTACGGACCTTCTCTTGTTGCGCCAAGAAGTCCAGCTTAAAGAATCTGTAGGAATACTGAAGGAGATCCTGTCAGAAATGAAAGGCTCCTTGACGCGAATTGCGGCGCCGACAGGTAAAAGAATGTTATACTTAAGTATAATGTGTCTTTATTGTGGACCACTTATCAGTCAAGGTTATATATATATATATGCATATATATATATATATTTTTTAGTAATATAAATATCTTTACTCTGTATAGAAGCACCCTGCCCAGGCAACTTCGTAAACCATGGCGGAACTTGTCTCTACATTGCCAAGGACGTCAGCGTAAATTGGGAAGCTGCTCGGGCCTTCTGTCAGGACTTGGGAGGAGACTTGGCCGTGCTCCGAGACGCCAACGCACTCGCACAGGCCATTGGATACGCTAAGACTTCTGGCAAGTCATTTTCCTCTAGACTTCATTTTATTCATTAATTATCTCGTGACAAGCTAGCTGAATACATGAATAAATTTTCTTATAATTTGATGAGGATGGCAGTGGGTGCTACGGAAATGGTGTAGAGTAATATGTAACTGATAAAGTCGCTCATTGATAACAATCCAAGTTCAATTTACTACATCCATCTTAACCCCATTACTGTTCGCTCCAGTTCGACGAGTACAACGAACAATTCCTTGCATTCCATAACTACATAGGTGAATAACTGTAGTATCCCCTGTATATATACACACAAAAGCATTAACGATTTTTTTTATATCGATATGCAGTATATTACCCAGCAGTCTTTCGAAATAGAAACTGGATATATTAATAAGACTCCTACATAAAGTAAAGAAGGCTGACGATGTTTTCATCCCGACAGGCATCTCGAGCACTGAAAGTGTGTGGCTGGGCGGAAGAGACAACTTAGTGGAGGGAGAGTGGAAGTGGGTGTCCGGGGAAGACATGCCGAAAGGAACGCCCTTTTGGGGAATTTATTCCTCGTAAGTCATTCTCCCCTTTTCTAAATAAAGCATTCAATGGAAAAATCGTGAAAATATTGATCATCCCTTCCCCTCATACAAACACACGCACATATTATGTGTATGCGTTTGTGTATTTATTAAGATACACATATAGGCACACAGATATATATACACATATATGTGTGTGTGTGTGTGTGTGTGTGTGTGTGTGTGTCTATTTACACACGATATATATGTATGTATGTATCTATATATATGTGCATATATATAATTATATATATGTGTGTGTGTTTATGCGTATGTGTGTGTGTGTGTGTGTGTGTGTGTGTGTGTGTGTGTGTGTGTGTGTGTGTGTGTCCATACACATACACACTATTCATCATCATCATTTCTATCTATTATTAATTTATTCATTTTGATTCAACTGTTTTTTTTTTCAATAGGAAGAGGCAGCCCAGTGGAGGTTCAGGAGAGAACTGCGCCATATTGTTCGGCCCTGATGACTTCTTAGTCCACGACGCCCCTTGCAGCTGGACGTGCTGGCCTCTCTGTCAAGTCAAGCGGACTTAAACAAGGGCATGTAAGCCACTGACAAATAAAGTTCTTTGAAAATAGGATTCGTTATACACTGTTGTTTACGTCCAGAGCAAAATGCGTATGGTTGGAATATCGGTGTCGGTGAGGGTTAATGGAACACTTCGAGGGAAATGCAATACAAGACACAAAATAGCTGTTTGCCAAAAATGTCCTCGCATACATGCATACAGTATACATACCTACATACATATATACCTATATCTATCTATCTATCTATATACACACATGCATATATATATATATATATATATATATATATATATATATATATATATATATATATATATATGTACGTATGTATGTATGTATACACTTATTAAGTCCATACAAAATCCACTAGCAAATCCTGTAATTCTACTGGATCCATTTATCATTTCTTTGAAGCTCATATGCTTATTGAAATGATACTAAAGAAGTAAAATGATAAATAGAAAAAAAAACATACTTATAATAACTAAAAGAGGATATTATTGCGAAAAGCTGTTTCAACAATAAACAAACAAAAAAGCTGGATTTGAGGTAGGCAGTAAGAGTGACACACGTACACACACACATATATATATATACGACTGCCGTGATGGTCAAGTGGCTAGACCACTTGTGTGTGTAAAGGGTATTAGTTGTTCCCTTATACATTGGTGAACAGGGTAGTAAAAGCTTGGTAGCTTGAGACTCTTTATTTTCTAAGAGTTCAGTACACAGATATTAATACACACACGAGACAATCTTGGGTTAGAGCGGTCAGCCCGGGAGGTGACGGAGATCAGCCCTGGCAGGGGGCAAAACTGACCTGATCCCTCTCGACCTTCAGGCCGTCGGCCAGGCGACCGACCTTGACCAGACAGCGGCGGGGCACTGACTCCCTTTGACCGGTCAAGCGCGGTCCTTATATCCGAGGAGGGGCAGCGTCGCTTGGGTAGCGAGAGGAAGCGTCGAGCGTGGGAGCGCCTCTCATGGCGCGTCACATGGCAACTGCGAGCGTCAAAGTGGGAGCCACGCGGGCCTATAATACACGGTATAGTGTGTGTGTATATACATATACACATATATGTATGTATATATATATATATATATATATATATATATATATATATATATATATATATATACATATATATAAGTAGTGTATATATGGACAGAACATGACACCCTCATTTATGTACATGAGTGTGAGAGTAGGTCAATGACCATGATGTAATAAAAAAAACGGAAATCTTTAACCTACTTTCACATGGCAAACATGTACGCCTTACGATTGTACATGACGAATAATAACAGAAAGTAGTCATAATTAAAGGAATTATCATTAACTATGCAGTTCTTCACGAAAGGAGACAAGAAAAGTACTTCCATGGTGTCTCTTCCTCACTTCGCCTGTCCATTAATGGTTTTAGTATGTCGTCTCTTCCTCACTTCGCCTGTCCATTAATAGTTTTAGTATGTCGGTGAAGTCATTAGCTTGTGACGAGTAGGGGTATTCTGTCATCTGGATATTGCACGAAGCATCATCAGAGTTTAGGAGGGCATCTTTAGACAAATAAGACTTTAGAGACATTTAGTAACAAACTGATTTTTTGTTAAAGATGATAGCAATACCATAACGTTTTACCATTTACCATATATTTCCTAAGTCTGAAAAAACTGCTCAGTTCATATACATATACTTCAATCACCCTTGTATTTGAAAAAGAGCCATTTTTCTTAAGGAAAAGGAAGCTTTTTCCTCCCTTATTATGAGGTATTGCGAATATTTTTTCTCCCAAACGAATGCTTTTTACTTGTCAATTAGAACATATAGCTTCGGTTCCGGCTTTTTCCCCCTTTAGGACTGTGATTTTCAACCCTTTCTCTATAACTTTTCTCCTCGACTGTATGTTGCTCGTCATATGCCCCTTTACTGGCAAGAATATCTAATATAGGTGCATAACAAGAAAAAGAAAGTACTCTTTATTTTTTATATGCTGCAAAGAATGTTTTGATTAGCAAAAAATAATATATAATTGTTGATAACTAGGATTAAGGAAAGATTATAGGCAAAATTATAGGCAAAGGATGTTAAGATATATATTTTTTCTTTTGGCATGATTTTGTATTAAAGGAATAGTCCAGAGGGTAGTAGATTTTTTTTTTTTTTTTTTTTTTTTTTTTTTTTTACTTTATTTGCAAAATAAATAATCTAAATAAACATCCCAAGGCATCATTTTGTAAATTCATTCACAACACTAGACTTTATAGCCCTTTTTATCTAGCATTTTTGCTCCTGAAATCCGTCTGCCACAAAATGTTGCCTCCATACGGGTGTGACGTAGTACCGTGTATATGGGTCAAGAGATCAGCCATTATTGTGCATTTATTGTGACAAATTTCAATGTCTGGTGACAATTTTAGTCCGCAGGGACATACCAAACGACGGAGGAAAGATGGAGGCACTCGAGAATTGGATGCGCATAAAGTTAACCCATTCGCGCCGGGTAAAAATGAACAAAAAATGGGGAAAATGCTGTGCTCATTTTTTATATTTTTTATGAAATTTCTCTACGCTAGATGGCTCTGCCTTACCTGATTTCACCTTTACTTGAATTGGCGGGAAAATGTATTTTTACTAGTGCTATGAATATCGATGGTTATTTTTATTATAAACATTATAATTACTATAACGGTATAAACATTAGTAACAGCAAAATAAGATAACACAAAATAATTTCGTAAATTAAAGAAAAGGGTAAACAGGCAGTACAAATACAAGTGGAGCCATCTATGTGTGAAAACAATTAAATGAATGAATGAATGGGTTAATGAAGGAGGAAGACGAGTCGTCAGATTCGGCCTATAACATGGCTCAAATTGGTATCCTTTCACCAATTCTCCTCCTACTTCCAGCTCCCTATCTTCTAGTTCATCACCAGTAAGATCTATTGATTCTGTAGACACAGAATCAATAGATCTTTCACTTTCAACTTCACTGGAACTGCTGTAATCTTGTTGCTCGCCATGTTGTTGGACAATGGCTATACAAGGTATGACGTCACGCGACGTGGTGGCGCCACTGGTCGTTTTTGAGGCAGACGAATTTTGTTTATTTTTATTATCCGGGTCTAAATTTTCAATTTGATTTTATTAATGGATAAATATTAACCTAGGCCAACTTTGAATGCAAAATAGTGCACCAGTTCTAGGCTATTCCTTTAAGTTATCCAGAAAATATTGAAGAGGTCGAGTATCAAGTTTTATTCAGTGTCAACGTAAGAAAAAAATCTTTCTTTGTATAGGGAGATTTGAGAAGATATATGCATGTACTTAAAATGTGGTAGCTGAATACGCGTTTCCCGATAAAGTAAATCACCGTAGCCCAATGGCGAGGTGATCGTCTCTTAATGATAACAACTTATCTAAACGCATATTTGTAGACAGGTGAGAAAGACAATGACGGGGAAATCGAGAAATAAAGTTTGGTTGAATTATGGCCGTCGGCACGGTTATTTATGTCCTTTTACAATATTTTTTTCCTTCCATTGTTTGCTAGATAAATGAAACTACAGTAACCAACATTATTGGTTACCGTTGCACAGTTCCTTTTCTTCGTATATGCTTGTAGGGAGGTACTAAAGACAATTTCGTGGAGGGGGAGTAAATTACTGAAAAGCTAATCCACCTTCTGTGCTTATATCATCATAAAACGGAGGATCCCTAATCGATGTTTACCTTGGTCTTTTATATCAGAAGTGGAATGCACTGTATTGATCCATATGTTATACATATGGGTTTTAAGGGAAAGCTGAACATATTCCCTAGTTTGCATTGTAGACTGTACAAAAATTCAGAGATGAGGTAGGAACACTTTTTGGAAAAGCATTGCATTGAGGTTAATTAGCAGAACATAACTGGGTCGACACATGGGGACAGATGGTGGCCCTAGTTGGTACATAAATAGCTGTTGAGGCTTTGGCCTCGTGCAGATGCGTTGAAAACCCTATTAATGATTTCTAAATAGAATAAAACCGGCGACAATCTGTTTGGTAATTAACCTGTTGTATAAGCCTGAAATTTTCAAACGTACCAGATAGTGGTTATCGCATTTACATTTGCTCAGAAAATTTAAGCCTGTTATTTTTATTTTATTTGTGTTATCGCCTGTAAGGACGCGTGTTTGTAAAAGTCATAATAAAGGCATATTGAGTACAATAAGAGTTTCATGATCCTTTTCACTGGATTGTATTTTTATTATGAAGATGCATTTGAGGTGTAAGCCAGCTTATCAATCGCCCAGCGAAGTTAAGAAATTTCTGTTGTTATTCTTATCAGGGTTGCACCTTTGTTATATTATGTTTAACCTATCGCATAAGCCTGCAATTTTCAAACGTACGAGATGGTAGTTATCGCATTTACATTTACACACAAAATTTAAGCCTGTCATTTTTATTTTATTTGTGTTATCACCTGTTAGGACGCGTGTTTATGTAAGCTTGAAAGTCATACTAAAGGCATATTGAGTACAACAAGAGTTTCATGATCCTTTTCACTGAATTGTATTTTTATTATGAAGATGCCTTTGAGATATAAGAACGACTAGTATAACATGTTAAAAGATGAGAAGAGCTCGCAAGCTTATCAATCGTTCCCGCGAAGTTAAGAAACTTCTGTTGAATTATTCTTATTAGGGTTGCACCTTTGTTATATTACGAATTTGTAAACATTTGTAAAGATATTGATTATAGTCTTTGCAAGTATTTTTTTTTTACTTATATATATGGAATGGGAAATAGACATTGTCAGATGCATATATTTTTGTCTTATATCTACGTAATATCTTATATCTACGTATTACGAACATTATCAATCTTAGCAAGGTGTTTGGTTACACCTCAGGGCGATACCGTCTTGCACCGCCACCGTCATTACCTCTGAGCAAGAAGAGGTGGTCGTATTATCATCATCGTTATTTGGAAATCGACCGATATGATTTGTGTTTATGTCTGTTTGTTTGT